CCTGCGCAAGAAATGAATGTCTGTCTAAGAATGTATTATTAGTGAGATTCAGATTTGCCTTCCACTACCGCTATCATTAAAGGACTTTTAACCAATCATGCAGATGCGTTTGATCTATTGGATTAACCAATCAGATGCGTACTAAACCGGTAAGAGGTAGTGGTAGCTGTTAATAGTATAGAAGTCAAATCTAAACCTCTCTATTATAATATGCAAGACTTTTACTATTAAAATTAAGGCACATGTACATTTAACATATACATTTAATCACATTCAATAAAAAGTTCAAAGAAAAACATAAAATAAAACACGAAATACATGCAACTACTTACAAATAGGTTTATATAGTATCTTCCGCAGACAACTCGGTGAAAAACAGGTTAAGATTTACGCTACTGTATTTAGCAGATTAAATAATGTAATTTCGGATCCTCACTGAACTATTATTCCTCATAATCCCCTGTTACCGCCACCACTGTTTCTCTATTCTGTCTGATTTGGCTACCGAGTTATCTGCGGAGGAGGCTATATGGCAACTGCTCTTCAAAATTAATATAGAATTCCAAACATGCAATACTACATGCAGTATACGGCAGCGTTAAAAAATAACTCATTTTCAAATTTCAATATAAAACGTCTGTGCATCAAATACACAATAGACCTTACCAATTATTAAAGGAATACCGAATGCTTTTCCGTGCAGGATTGCGTGATTCATGCACGAGGGATGTCGTGAGCGGAAAGCGTAAAAATACTCGAGCAACAATGCAACATCCCAAGTGCATGGATCACGCTATCCTGCTTGGAAAACCATTTGGTAATTGTTTTATAAAATAACTGCAGTGAAACAATGACATTTTGAGAATTCCGCGAAGGCATTTTAATTCCTCGTGCAGGATAGCCTGATCCTGCACGGCTGACCAATCAAATTGTTCGATTTTTCATTTTTGATTTTAGAAGCAAGATACAAGCAATTTTTACTGTATTCGCAGCAAATAATATATACATATTATACATGAATGTTTAGCAAATATATCAGCAAACGCAAACGATAAGAAAGACATTGTCTTGTTTATCGTTGTGAACACAGTCACAATAGTCCATAGTCTAAATATCTGGCTATCATATAATATTCATAGTCATAGAAAATCGCGAACCGTAAAAACACAAAGACCGATGTCAATTTGTTTTTAGCCGACAAACATGCAGTTATGAAGCCATGAATAGACGAGATGAACTGTATTAACCTAGCAACAATTCAGATCATTTGTTACCATAACTTAAGTCCAGTTTACACGACACGTACACGACTGTTAGCTGCAATATTTTGCAATGGCACGCACGGGACGGCAAAATTTGATGTACGGCAAAAGTTAAATTTAGGCACGGCATGTTCATTCTAAATATTGTGGGACATTTAACTTATCTATCGAATGCGGGGAAATACTTTTCAAAACTGCGCATTTATAGTTATCTATGACTATGCTTTGTCCAAGATTTACACATTAATTTTCTACACGCGTACGGCTCAGCACTAGACACATTTTGCACGGATATAGTATATTTTGCATTGCAATTTGCATGACCAACTATTTAGCGAAATCAGTCTACGCTGCCAACTTCGAGAACCCTTAGTTTCATAAGTGTCTAGTTATTTGTTTATCAAGTCAAAATCTCGAAGGTTTTGAACGTTTAACGATTTGCACATGCAAGATCGAAACTGGGTCACGCAGTTCCGGTCCACCATAGTACGATCGTACTTGTTTTAGCATGTCACGGGCAGATCAAGATTATATTCCCATGTTTTCCTGGACGAAGTTGTTTCTTGCTATTTTTAGGCTCAATAACAAAGTAATTTTCAACCCTATACTATAAGCACAAAACATTTAGTAAGTATTTGACACGAAAACGAGGCCATTGGGCGAAAAGTGAATAAACGGTAAGGTCTATTATAAACTGTCACATGTATACATATCAACAATCACTGAGAAAACTTGGCAAGTTAGGGTAGCATGTACATGCATTTTGGTGTTCCAGTTGCAGGGTCAACTTCACAAAGTTTAAATAATGGACATTTGAACGTCTTGCATGGATCTGCAACAATAAAATTAAGCAATGTATTATATATAACTATTGTCGGATTACAGACTTAATTAATCTTGTTGAATTACAGGGCCGTGCCAAGTGGTTTTTGGTTGGGGGGGAGTGAAATAAAAAAATTTCCCCCCCCCCCCATTTGCCCCCCCCCCAAAAAAAAAAAAAAATTTCCAGAAACCAAAAAATTTTTCCGCAAAATACTGGCGACGAAGGAAGGGGGAGTTCCAAAAATTTTTTCAAACCCTAAGTTTACATAATGGGGGCTTAAATTTAGTTTTGAAAACCTTTTTACACTAATTTTCCAGAAAATTACTTGATATTTAATATGTTCCGCAATTCCAGCTTTCCAGGGCTCCCTCTCCGCAAGTTGGGCCCCCTTTTTTACTTTTCTTTGGGGGAGGGTGATACACTCCCCCACCCCCAGGTGGCACGGCCTTGGTTGAATAATGCATTAGTAAATGTTTTAGAAATACTTTCCTTAACTGTCAATCAGTAGACAGTAATTTATATAACAGTTTAGTGATAAAATGTATTCATTGACAATATCTATTAGCGAGATCCTGAGCTCCACAGCTCGTCGTAAGATCACTACTGAATCAATCTCATGCACGCTAGGAAGTCAAAGGCCAAAGACCAAGGATATTTATAATATGTACATGTTATATAAGAACGTTTTGATGGGCTGAACTGCGTGCTGGTCGATTGAGCATGGCAAAACTATATAATTATATATTTTTGCCTCGTTTTGGAAAATATTTTCTGACATTTATCACAAAATGTTTCAATGTTTTAAGGGAATGTACATTTATTACGGGGGGGGATGAAGATGTCTTGAAAAAAGCTCATATTTTTACAGGGCTCCTGTTGAGGTTATTGGTAAATCTTTGATGCCCCCCTCCAAGTTTTAAAATTTTCAATGCCCCCCCCAAAAAAAAAATCGGAATCGAAGGAGAACAATCCGGAATTCTGTCTTATCATAGATACAATATGCAGTTCCTCAAGATGTCTGATATACTCCAGCACGTACTTCTCCTCAACAAAAATACCGACTTGCAGCTTCTCTCACCACACTATCGCCAGATGAAACGGCACCGTCTTTAAAAAAAATTTTTAGATTGGCTCTTGGGGCGAAAATATCGACAGGTTGTTGTTGCCCGTCATTCAGCGTAGTTGGAGTCTTGAACACGTTCATGTAGTGGCCGGGATTTCCTAGATCAGGGTAATGTGCTGGAACCTTTGAGAACCTCGCCCCCAACCCAACGTATCTCCTGGCATCTGTTGCAACTTTCTTTGCATACCTGTCAAAAATGCATGCAAGAACGCCAGTATGCTTCAATTTCTTTAATTTTCATCCCATGAACATAGAGCATATCATTCTTACAAATCGTCAACCTCGTCCCCAGGGTCTTCTTCGTGCATGGCGCGTGAAAAATGAGAAGACCCTGGTAAAGGCTCTTCTAAACTCCGTTGTGATTGGTTTATACATTTGACCTTGACATGAGCTTTGAGGATGTTGTTACAATGAATGTGATTGGTTTACCGCTAAATAATTCTTGTAATGAGCCCTACGATTGGTTGCATGATTTATAAGGATTTTCACAACAATAACATAACAATAATTTGTTTTAAAGTAAAATGCATGCTTCGCCAAGGCGCGAAGCTCGTTTCTGGCAAATATTTTCCAACATTCAGCCTAATATCAGGCACAATATATAATGGACATCGTAGTGTGAATAAATATAGACATCATTTTGATACTTCAAAGTTGAGACAGCTAATGTTTACATCGTTATCGAAGGTATGAATATATACACATATATTGTATGATCAATCAAACCACAGAACCATTTGCGTTTGTGACGTTTTAGTTCCTCTCAAATACAACCACTTGTTTAATACGAAAACCTCTTGTCTGCTTCAAGTGACAGTTTAATATCAGTCTCAGCTGATGCATTTTTATAGCAGAAATAGACGCACAGAACGATTGCTGTTTGTATAGCTTAATTGTTACATGTTAAAAAATTATATTAATAATAAAGTAAGCAGCCCTTGCTGGGCTCATAGGACACCAGGAAATACTAAAAGCGAATCTAAGATCCATGCAATATATCAATAATTTGTGCCACTGCTGGAGCACAGCTACTTGAATTTTCCACAAGAATGGATGCCACTGACCTTCACAAATGGAACATTTAAATTATATTCAACATAACTATAAAATTATTTTCAGTTAAATCTAGCATTAGTGTTACACTGTAAATCATCCATAATTATCACAGGTGTACAGAGAGTACACTTTTCAACCCCCTCCCACAGCGACTTAACCGATGATGGTGGGTCTATAGTTCAACATTTTAAAAAGCGTATACTGGTTATGAACTTGTCTACCTGAAGCGTATAGTTTGTACACTTCAGGAAATGTTGGTAGTTATGGATGACTCATAATTGAATTTCATTAGCCTTTACATCATTGTGAATTACCATTTGCATGCATGTAACACTAACAGCATGATCTTTATTCTATACCGTATAGGAAAAATTGAACACATCTGTCCTGCAAAGCTAGTACAAATTTACATTAGCAGCTAGTGAATCAGTAAGGGAGGTATAATAAAGCAAGTGTTCAAATAAATGCAGCCAAATCAAAATTGTTTGTCTCCACACTGCACTTCCTCGTAAATGGACAGCTCAATGAGAACAAATGTTGTGGACAACTGTGGTTTCGACATTGCAGGCTGGCTGCACATTTTGCAATGATGTACATGCAGGAGAGCAGTTGTTGAATCATCAATGAAATCGATTTCCAAAGAGCTCCAAGGCTTACTTTTTGAAATGACTGAGAATTCATTTTCGATATGAGTGAGAGCTCCTATCAGCCACATGTTAGGATGCGTATTACCAGCTCTTTTCTCTACCTTTGCACAGTACACAGAAGGAAAAACAAAGACCAGATTTTGAACCGAGTAACCTTTATTTAACTTAAAACAGCACTGTATATAACTTTAAATATTGTAAAAAATGAAATATCAGTTAAATACTAATTCAGTAAAAATTGTCTTGGTATGGAAATATCTCTTTCTGTTGTATATGCATTGTTCAATTACCATGTCACTTTCTTGAGTATTACCAGAATATTAATAAGTATAGTTGAGCCAGCTTCCTAATATTATGGAATCTAGGATAGTTGTTGACTTTGCGGTTTCCCAGCTTAATAACCTCATATTAGCAACATTCCTAGATGTGAAGACTAACAGCATCCCCATTAAGTTGTACATATACAGTTGCAGTCTTCTTGACAGTCCTTGTTTTATCCGTATTGATGTTTGAGAAGCATGAATATCTAAAATATAATACAATTGATTTGCATTTCATTTCACAAACTGGAAACCTAAATCTATATGTTACACTAAATCTATCCAATTAATTTATTAACAGTATATTTATTTCTAATTGAGGCAGAAACCACTTACATAGGTTACGTTTGAACAAAACTATCTCTAAACTGGTTGGCAATCTTTTAGTTTTACTGATTCACCATTCAGTGCACAATATAAACTCGTAGTACAAATGAAATTTCTGCTGTCTGAAAGGGGATGGGGAAATGCACTTTTATAATAGTAACACGTATTAGTAGGATGTGCAAAAGGAAAGGGAGTTCTAATCTCCTATGTGAGAGCTGTGGATCTAAGGAAAATTATTCCACATGTAAGCACTTTGCATGCTCCAAGGGAATA